TTGGGATAGACAGTGCGAACCCACTGTCAGATTTTCGCGTATTGGTTTCACTTGTCGTGTTTCTTCAGAACAGTCCCTTTCATTTTGCTCAAACCAGTCCAACAACAATTCGCATTTGGGGCCTAATCAATTACTAACTCCGTTCATCTTTATGGCACTATCTTCTGCTAGGACTCCATGGCCATTGTGCATCATCGCTGCCCAGTCTCGGCAACTGGGTGACAAATGGGCGAATATGGACATTTGGTTTTGTTTTGCAGTAGTGGGGATCCTGGATCGACCTTGAACCCACGTGTTCCAAGACATCAGTGATCCATTTTTTTCGGCTAACTACCGTGAACACATGCCGTAGGGTCCTCACATCAAGCAAACTTGTTTGGTCTGTATTTCACCGAAGCTTGCTGAATGGGAACCCCGAGATCATGGGAACCGGTGTTTGCAGACACCGATTGATATGGACGAGTCGCAATCGGTGCCGCTCCGGTATTTGCTCAATATCTCTGCAACCCCCAGTCTATCTGAGTTCTCTGTATTCTGTTTGACTCGGCTCTTGACATTCCAATCCTAGTTATGCTCTTCAGTCCAAATGGGTAACCAAAAGATAGCTTGAAAATATATGGTTAAAGATTGTTTAGACGGAACTAAACTGAACTGAACTGAACTGCTGATTCATCACCTCGATCGCTAGCCAGTTGCTTCCCCAAAATGTCCTATCATGACGAAATGGCATATTCCAATGGTGCTCTTTCGTTAGTCCGGGTGTTCCCAGCGTTGTTCAACCCTCTTTATACCACATCCGGACCCTAGGCTTTACACATTCCAGTGCATTGTGCAAAGTATTACCGGTATTTACTTACTGGTTAGAATGAGCGCAAGCCAAGAGCCCGCCATTTTCTTGGGTATCACCGCAGCCAGTTTGCAGTGGTTTGTTCACCTTGTTCTGCGCTTGGCGCGCGAATCGAACCGAGTGAGGTTAATCGGATTCCTCGGAACACGGTGTCTGTGTTGCAGGTCCATCAGTGCGTGTGAAACAGTTCCGATAGACTAGACAGACGAAACTGTATTTGTGGTCTGGATCCAAATGCATCACCGCAAAACTACTGCCTTCTGGGTTATATTGAGTTGTGTAAATTCTAGGGATAGACCTGATGAACAAAAAAAATAACGATCGATTTGGAGCACATCGAATTCCCGTGAGAATGCATAAACCTTCTCGGTTTCTTAACCCGTTATTTTTACTATTCACTCCTGGTTACTGTCACCGTTTCATTTTTATTTCAGTTTCGTACCGTAGGATATTCCGTTTCAGTTTGAACAACCATTAAACATGCACTTTCGTGCGCCGTTTTTGGTTGCTGTCTTTTGGCTGCCCATTGGGATGAAGAATAGGAGAAGAAAGGAAAGTT